GGGTATTGGTGTAGGTGGATGTCTCATGAGGGTTCGCTTTTTACGGTACGTTCTTTTGTTAAGACTGCCCCCTCGCTCCCCTGCAAGTATGCTGCTCCCGATCGTCATCCCTACGATAGTCGGGCCCATGAGCCCAAGTGCTTCTGGCATGTCACCCTCTCTGAGCGGGTTTCTCCCCGAAATGTTACACGTTCATGACACTGTGATTCTTGAACAATAACAAATAAAATACAGCTTGCTGTTTTCAGCTATGATTAGATAAGGAGCAAGGGTGTGCATCACCTCCTGTTTAAATGACACGTGAATTATAGACAGTAAGCTTACGACGTTTTTCATTGCCTTTAATAAGATCGCGTGCCCGGGACAATTGATATTAATTGAAAGCTAGCTACTATAAAAGTTTAAGGAACAACAGATATATGAAATTGCCAGAAGGAAAATACGGCCAGCTGCAAAGCATTAACTGATGCAGTGACTCATAATGTAACATTACTCTGGTATGGCAAAGTGTCTGGGGTTCTGTGTTTTGTTTGTGATTTATAATGACCTCGTGATCAACGATCAAACGTATGGTATTATAAACATTTCTTTAAAATACACATCTTTAATGCATGTAACAGTGGGTATTTTGTGGATTCCTGCACTGGAAACTTAAGACAGGATTGCATATTCATATAATCCTTAAGCAAAAACAAAGTTCAATCATCAATCATATTATTTTGTAGAAATAATGAACCTACATTTTGCACGTAATTATAGATTTCATAACAACATGTTATTATTTTTACTTTGATTACATTTTAAAACTACTAAACCCCCTCCCCATACAAAAAACCCTTACATTTTCATATTTGTGAACAAACTATTGACATTAGTTGTTAACTTGAGACGGAAGAGTGAATACATTTAACACGGGTTGACATCATTCAAGCATTTTCCAGTAAATTATTTTACAATGTACTGTAAACAACCTTTAATTGCCAATTAAACGTTTACTATTTCAGGAATAACGCTTGCTGGTTGAAAGCAGTGTGTGTGTGATCAAAGCAAGTCAGCCTTAAAAGCACTCACATCAAGCACAATGATTACTTCTTAACAATATCGCACATTTAGAAAAACACAAATATGGTTTTAGTTGTTGTCAACATCTATTAATATGTATTAGGAATATCAATCGCACTGTACTCTCTATTACATGTTCAAACATAAGAGCGCCAACATCACCATGAAAATCAGAGGCGGCAAGACATTTCGTGTTTTTTTATCTTGAGGGTTATGAGGCATGGCACTTCAATGAAAAAAAAGCTACAAATGCACCAGCAGTAATGTGGCTATCAAGCCACTATATCGCATAATGACACCCGTGTGCTTCACATTAGTTTTGCAGTCAGCTCTACTGTAGGATTTGGTCACCTGACGTGCCCCTGTCATGCAAAAGAAAATGATGAAAACTTCCTAATCTGCCTCATGTATGGCTATGACTCTGAATGTACTTAGGAATGCAAGAAACAGCATTGCAGGATTATGGCCAAAGTAGAAAACAACTAACTACAGCAGCGTTCTTCTTCATTGGATGATATATATTTTAAAGTTTATTTTATCGATGTGCATGATCTTGGCTTGACCCACAATAACTTTAAAACTTCATGTCACCGCTGTCGTTGACTGCAATGTTTCCTTGTATGTTGTGAAAATATAGAACGTAAGATTTGCGTGCCACGTTTGAACGCACAACGTTTTTATACATAATTGAATACATCAAATTGGTTAAGCTACTTAAGTATGTGTTAAGGTAATTAAATTAACTGGATAATTGAAAATTACGTTGGAATAATAATTAAAATCTAATATAAATAATGATTTGTAGTTTAGTTTTTTTTCCAGGAAACCCACACCGGGTCGTAGGACTCTTTTTCATGAGGGTCCTGAAATAGTAATGATGAGTGTTTATACAAGGGGGAGGACACTGGAGCACCCAGGAGAACCCACACATGCGAGGGGACAACACTCAATTCCCATGCAGGTGGACACAGATGGCGATTAGTCCACTGGCTGTGCCACCTTCTCCTGGTGAGCCAGGGTATGGAACCTCCTCGACACTCACGGGAAGGGAGTGTTGCACAATACTTGTGCAACCTACCCAACCCTCGCCTCCACAGTGCTAGATTAGAGGCGTGCATAGCCGCCACCGCACGCCTAGGATACTACCTTTGATATTGTGGGTACACAAAAACACGCCGCTTGACACACATGCACACAATGATCTCCTCCCAATTAGCCGTGCAGACCAAAAGAGGCAAATGCTGTAAAGTAAGCGCCTAATGAGGCCAGTATATACTGCATGCACACACCACCAGGTCTATATTGAACGTTGAGCTAAATGAGCAGAAGCATAGGATAGGTTTTGATGCCACATGCCTACAATGTTGTACATGACTGGGAATTATATCCAGGTCACTGGGTCAAAGAGCAGGACAGTTTCTCGCTGAGGACTTTGAATTCACACGCCCACACTTTTGCAATAAATTTAACAAACAAGACAGTCACTTCATTCACGTAACATATCAACACCGTGAAGTTCTCCATTCGACATTTGTACATATCGTTTGCGGGAGAAAGTGGGAGGTAACCTCGGTATGTAACACAAATGTATCAACTTCAAAGCACTTTGTAAAACGCGAAATCACCCTCCTTGATGCCAGGGCCCAGAGATTGATCCCTGAGAGTGCTGGGCCACCCGCACGAAGAGCTACACCCTCACCTTGTTCAACTCACCACAAACCCGAGTTTGGCACTTTGGCCCTCCCTGTTCTTCCCACCAAGCGAGCTACCGAAGGCCAATTAAATTAATTATTCCACACACATGTTATCACTTAATGATAACAATCTAAAAGAGAAGCCTTCGCGCGTTAAAATAATTCTCAATTTCCAGTAAGTAAATTTTCAAATTAGTTTTACATTATTATTTGTTTAAAAATGTAATTCCTCATATGTTCAGCACATTTAAATATGTCCTGCTCATTTATTTATCACGAAAGACCTCCACGACGACAAAAAAATATCAGTCAACGATCAGCATTTCTCGTAGTTTAAAATTCTATGTTGAATATATTAAACTTTGGATTTAAATTACTGCTGAAGTTTTTTTGTGAAAATTCCCTCCTGGTCTCTCCTTTGCAGTGCCCCAAATTCCCATCCCTGTGGTTCGTGTCATGGCAGGAGAGTAATTTAAAGACCCTGTGCCCCTCGTCAGTCAGGATAAAAGCAGTCTCTGCCTCTAGATGGTCCCAATCATCCCTGAATTGATTTATAAGCGCACAGACCACAGTGCCAAGTCCTACATGATATTTCATTTAAAAGATCGCTTTGTTCAACATTCTCTGGGATGTTTAATGGGGGTTGTACCATCAAAAACAATTCATAATCCTTGACTTTTTTTCTTCTTCAACAGCTTATGGTTTAAAAATGAGAAACAGCATGCGTACAGTATGATGAAGGGTTTGTTTTATCGCTGCAATTAATATGGCTGGAGTGTTACACCAATGTAGACTGTCTGTTAAACAGAAATATCATGTGTTTTATGTTATATACGTGTTAAATAAATGAACTGTACAAAGAATACAATCTTATTTTATATACAGTCAAAGTAAAATTATTTATTTAGACATGCACGATTCTGAAAGGGTGATGTTTAATTATGCCAATTTAAGCAGTGCAAGTCTATGGCCTTCTCAGATCTCTTAAGCTAAACATGTTTTAAAGCTGGTCTTTGCTTGGATGGGTGACACACGATGCATGAGAGGTATTTTTTAGCTGTGGAACTGTGGTGGGCAGCTGAGCAATGAAGCAAAATCCATTGTTGTATTGTACCTCTATGCTACCACACCTATGCTCCCTACCTTCATTAAACTGCACAGACAAGCATGAAGCGTGGTGAAATGCATGGTGCTACAAAAAAACGTTAACACTTACATGGGACTATTGTTTTTAATGGGGGAAAGAACGGATACTACACTGTAACATGATAAGAAAGGCATGTTCATAGCTTCAAAAAGTCAAAGAGTCTCCACTTGTTCGCTATCGTTGTCAACACACGCCTGGAATCTTCTCCAGGTGGTCTTCAGAACCCGGAAGCACATTTCTTGTGGTACTGTTGCAAATTCTCGGTAGTGTTAACATTTTTTTGACGCACCCTTAAGCTCCCGAGGGAGGAACTAAGTTTGAAGTAAATTAACAAAGGGAACGCGCATCAACACAGTAATCCACAGTATGCTAAACTATATTTAAGCGACACCCATGACCAACAATGGCACGGGGATGCCTTCATCCAGCAGCGAATTAACAGAGGGTTGATTTTTTTTACGCGAATATAATCCAAGCAGCAGGCAGGGACTGCGTGAGAACAGTTTCAATATAACAAATCGTGAGTAAAAAATAAAAAAAAATACCGTACGTCATTAGTCTGGATTTAGACAGCAAAAGGAATGTTGTTCCAGACATCGGGAGCAGTGAAGAAGGGTTGACCCCCCCTCCCATCATGTGGAGATGAATGGGGGGGGTGGTAGTATTTTCTGGAGCAGAGAAATTAGGAGAAAGAGCAGAGAGAAATCAGATCAGAGAGCTACTATTTAGGCATTCTGAAGACGATGAGATATACTTTTTTTCGTTGTCCCGTGCCAATGAATGAGCAGTTAGCGAATATAATTGAAAACGTGTGTTGTGCAGTCTCTCGTCAATTTGGCTAAAGCATTTTGGAAGGATGAGCGTATGTTACGTTATATGTAATTAATTATGATATTGGGCAGTTTGTTGGTGTGCTAGCAATAGCAATCAACTCGCATAGCATTGCAATAAGTGTACACATGAATAGTCAATATCAGAGGGCTCAAGTCAACTTCATGATTGTCCTCACTGTCTAAAATACTCTCCATGGACTCGTCCCTGGCTACCTCTCTCTTCTCATCTGACTCTTTCTCCCCTTCATGTGCTCTACGCTCCAGTAACCAAGACCTTCTCTCAAGACCCCATGTCAACCTCCTGCTGCTTATTTTGCTGCTGCTGCTACTAAAGGTTGGAACTGCCTCCCCGGGTCATCCATGCCACCAGGTCCATGCTCATGACTTCATGCTTATAACCTAAGCTCTCCAAATCTAAATATAAAATATACACGTCTCTCCGTGTTCATCGGTTTCTTGGTTATATGAAAGTAAACTATAAACACGTTTTTTTTATTTTACCAGGTGAGCTCTATAGCTCTTTTTGAGAAGCGACCTGGCTACAACTGATAGCTAAACGAAGTGGCTTATCATGTGCAAATTTGCAGCAGCCAAATATTCTCAGCGCATGTTTCTAAATGTGGAGGAGAAAACCGGAGGACCAGGAGAAAAATCCACGTGACCATGGGGAGAACGTGCAAATTCCAAATATACAGGCGACAGGGTTGGGATTGAACCCACGACCTCCTGTATACCAGGCGAGGTAGTTGACATCTCCTAGCCACCGCAGTGGCCTACTTGATGTACAGCATGGTGAGATAGAGCTGTATTCATATGCTGTATGTACTCCGTTGCGTTGAAGTAACCTTTTTCAATAACCATTAGCACTCTAGTAATGCGTAAAGTTACTGTACATCCATTTGTTATTCACATTTTTAAAAATGAATGAACGTATATGTGTTTAATATAGTACGATTAGACTTTGCTGTATGTTTCCTATTACGCATAACAAAACATAAGATAGTTATGAAAATGACATAGCTTCATGATTTGTAAAATACAAACAATTATTAAATTTTTACAAAATGCCAATTAATTTTCCAATATCCCCACATGCTATATCCCCCACTTGCAAAACAAATTATCACCTTCCATAAATATGGTCAATAATTTTAATTTTAATCCACAATCTGGTACATCATAATTATTATTTACCCTGTTGTGAATAATTGGTTATTATGAATGTATTTCTCAAGAATAAATTAAGTGATTCCAGTATTAATAGGGGGATGTGTCAGCTATGACTGTGCAGGAACAGACCCCTTAAGGTGTTAAAAATGCAATGTCCCTGAACAAAGATTAGGCAAACATTGAAATTAACGTCATTAAAATTAATCTCAATACGTATTGATATTTACATTCCTTTCCAGTCCGTTGCTAGTGAGGTGCAATGATAATGTAAAGTAAAGCCTTCACACCCATGTGAGACACCACTGAGACCAAGGTCTCCGGGCCATGTCGATAGTGTAGGGCACAAGCAAGGCGAAGACACAAACACGTAAACACCACCACATTCTACATGGCACCCTGACTCTTTCCTGAACCGTGAATTTTCATACAGTTACCGTCACCCAGGTTTAAGATGAAAAGGGCCCATTGTTACTTGGTCATTGAACGTGCAATTACTAACAATTCGTTCAATTGCTTTATAATGAAGTCATATCTGCCACTTATGACAATTTTCCCAGTACTCGCTGTTACTATTTATTTCACTGGTTTGAGACCACCTTCAAATGGGGGGGGAGGGGGGGGCGGGGGGAAATCGAAGGTGGGTCCCTTGGAGATTCCCATTGCTATTGAAGCTGGACCTCCAGAGAGTGGAGATATCAGACATCAGAGAGAATGACTTTTGTTGGCAGGCTCCCTAACGCTGGCCAATTTACAGATGTTAAATCACCGCAACCTTCTTTTATTGCAATTCATTTTCAAATATTGTGCAGTGCAAAATAAAAAAAAGCTTCAGGATCGTATCGATGGAATACACTCATCATAAAGATATCACTAATGTCATGGTGGAGCTCCACTCCATCAAAGAGCCTGAAAAAGGTTGCACCTAGGGTGGCCTTCAAATTATTTGCTCCCACCTGGGCCTGATGCAGTATCTGCAGGAGCTTGCATGACATCATTCAACTATCATTTCTTTAGTCCAGACTGAATGTGCTGTAAAATTAATTGCATTTAAAAATAAAAATAACAAAAAAACATGAAGGTACTGAACACTTGATTGAGATGTGGCAAAAAAAAAACACAATTAGCAGAGCATGAGAATAGGTTTTCCCGTTTTTTTCTGGCAACAAACAGGTGTTAAGATATTAGAACACCAAACTGAAAGATTTGACAAGGAATGATGTCTGCATTAACTACAATACTTGTGGTCAGAATGCAAACAAAAAACGTACACTGATAATATATGTGGCATTGTCTTTGAAACTGATTGGTCCACACCAGAGACAGCTTTCTTTTGAGCGTAGTTTCAAAACGGTGTTAGACCAGAGGACATCCTGTTTGTTACCAGAAAAAAATGGGAAAACCTATTCTCCTATTTTGTAACAGGCAAAGGAGGTACCATTAATCTTGATTTGAAGCTTTCGTGACTGCAGGAATCCATACTCATTGTTTTTTTTTCGGTAAAGTCACGTAGGTATAAAATAAAATAAATCACGATGTTTCAGGCGCAACACAAGCGTCCATCATCAGGTGGGAAAGCATGGTCTGCTGCGGAGGCAAACTGTTTTCCCACCTGATGATGGACGCTTGTGTTGCGCCCGAAACGTCGTGATTCATTTGATTTTATATTTATGCGACTTTACCGAAAGAACCAAAGAGTATGAGGTCCCATTAATTGGCAGAGCATTTTTGTATAAGACAAGAAGTGTGTTTTGTCTCAGTGGGGGTCACGTGAAAATATAAGCTTGACTGAAGGTCAATGTTTCCTTTATCTGAGATAAACTAGCAGTTGGCTCGTGTAGAAGCAGTCTTGTGATGCATGCTTTCGATGACGTCTGAGGAATTTTGTGATCGTGACCATTTCAGAGCCTGACTAAGTATAAGATGAAACTGTAAGTACAAAACGCAACTTATAAACACATAGTATATACTGACTTCAGTCGTTTGCTTCTGCACGTGGGTTTTTGCCTGTGTGCACTTACGTCAATATATATATTTGACATAGCTGGGTTAACTCAGAGGTAAGAGGAACCACTGTAATTCTGGGTTTTAAGTAGAAAAGTCGCCAGAGTTTAAACTGGGCTCTCATGCGTGGTGAGTTGATGGTCTCAGGCTGGTCACTGATGACTGCACGAAAAAAAAACCCCCATCATATTAAATTTGGTCCTGTACTTTATTTGGTAAAAATCCATCTCTGAGAATAAAAACGAGATTGATTTGACTGTCACGGAGCCAATACTTCATAGCAGAGGCTATGGGAAAGTGCTCCCCCTATTGTGTAAATAATAAAACTGAACCTTGAAGGATGTTTAAAAAATTTGTCGTGATGTTTTTTTGACTGAAGTCTTCATTTTGTGACGTGCCACTGACAACACAATTCCAATACATTAAGAAGAAGGCCGCAATATTTAGATATCTACAATGGTTAAGTGTCAGCAATGGGAATTGTATCTTTCTCTATATATCCATGGTGTCGCATTCCCAACATGATATGTTTCATATGAACGTAAACAGCATTCAAATAACTGCCAAGAATAATGAGAAAGTAACTATGTGTTTAGTATATACAGTATAGTATCATTTGTTTGTATTTGTGTTGAAAACAATTGCCCAGATATACTCTGTTTTTTTATATAGATATGCATGTCCTATCAGAATTTATTTTAAAAAAATACTCACGAAATATAATGATGCGCATTGCACAATTAAACTTATTTGAGACCTCATGCCACCCAAATAGAGCACACCAAGTTTAAGTAGAACACTGCAGTGGCGCGTGTGTGTGAATATCTTGCAAGGCACCCACTTTCTTTTGGCGCTTTCATTGACCTGCAGATGAACCTTAGCCCATATCTGGTGCAAGGGTCACCCAGCGGTCAACTCCCTCCTGAAAGAAAAACAAGCGGAATTGAGAGCTTTATTGCTGTTATTTATTCATTTTCCCTAGACGATTGCTCTGGCCTAGACATTCAGGGGGCCCACTGGAGGCGGATGGTGGGGGAGGAAGACGTATTCATCTCTTTTTTTTTATCTAAGAATAAACTTTTGGCCGCAGTGGGAATCTTCAGAATTTCTTGCGCTGGTGATAAAAGGGAGGCTTCTTTTGGTGTACAACCCTCTTGTCACCTGTGGCAGGCCAGGATTTATTGAAGCCTTACTTCATGGGTCCTTTTGGCACTGACAGGTGGGAAGGATCATAAGGAGGTCAAGCAGGGAACAAATTCCACACAACTAGTTGACAAATTCCCAAAGAGTGATCAGATGCTAAACTTAAAATACGTTGGTTATGCACTCATTATTTTCCTAGTTTTAAAACACTGATTATTACAAAGTCGCATAATGTCCCGTTGGTGATGTAAAATGAATACATTCACTGTAACAAAAAAACTATTCTCGACACGTGTCCCTGAACAGGTATGTCATGACACCAATGGTCCCATTTGTCTTAAACTGTGTTCAGTTGTAGTTTTAACACATTTTGGGAGATGAAAACGACATCTAAAGGAAGCATAATTCCTGTATTGAGGAACCGTTTACCACGACAATGCTGTTTTCACTTTATTTAATCAGATTTTAAATACCATTAAACAAGTGCTACAGGTAGTAGAACTGGATGTGACTTACAAGAACGCTAAAAAATGTAGATATAATTTTTTTAATATGAACCTATTATTATCAGATTTCAACATTTTTAGTGAGAAACATCCAAAAATGCTTCGTATTATTTCATAGTCTTAAAAAATGTGAAGCGCTTATCTGGTTTTATATTTTTTTCTCAAACAATCGCTTTACATTCCTCTGCAATGTGCCATCATGATGTGATAAAGTCCCCGATCGTCCAGGTCAGTCACAACATATGACTGTCTTATTACGAAAATCAGGACAACGTATTACATTTAATAAGCTATCACTGAAAACAACAATCGATACAAAAATGCTGATGTAGATGTTATTTTATCAACACAATGAGTTCACAACTGTTGATTTGTGAAAATAACTGGAAATAAAACTTTCCAAAGAAAATTACACGTGCATAATACTAAGTAATGTTGGACGTTATCTAATTAAAATATTGGAATTAAAATATTAAGTTCGGAATACGTCCTCCAATAAAAAAAGTAAGAAACACATTCTGAACGAGTACATGAGTGGTGACCTAAGTACATGACGGGTAACCTGATGTTATAACTTTGTTGCCTTTTTTTCAGAAAGTGATAGAACTAAACTCTTTCTGACCTCATTCATCAGATGACAAG